TAAACAACGTCAGTACCTAAAATCTATACTTCAAGGCCATCATGTATCATTTATGAAGTTGATAGTTGGTATCTTCCAATAAACTTTTTTAGGAAAAGGAAGAGGCGTTCTTTGACATAACCCTGGTTCATCAACGTTCTGCCCAGACATTGGTGACGTTTTATAAAGTCTGAGTAGCAGCAGCAAACTCTTGAATACCGAATAAAGTGGGAAATGTATATCCCATATGCAGGTGAAGTTGAAACCGGTATATTGTTACTAAGGTGGGGGAAATTGATAATGTCAAAATTAAAATCGTCTCGTTTGCCATAGATTCTAGTACTGAGATGACCGCTTATGTCAAATTCGAGGTATAAGTCTAAAAATGAGGCGGAGGAAGCCGTGTCTGTTGTTTGTCTAATTTCTAGTTCTGGAGGATATATTAATGGAATCCAATCAGAAAAGTTTAGATTGTTAATGGAAAGAACATCATCAATATATCTGAATATGAATTTAAATGATCTGGCTTCTTTGATCTTCTTGTTTTTGACAAGTGTCTGAAAGAACTCCGACTCATATGAAAATAAGAAGAGGTCGGCAAGGAAAGGTGCACAGTTCGTTCCCATAGGAATGCCGAAAGTATGTCGTGGCTACCTTTTTGTCTCTCATTGAGTTTAAAAAAATATCATAACGTAATTAAAATAACATCCTGCAGATGTCCATAATACATTAATCGCCACAAATGTTGTCTTGCTTTTAGTAAATGTTACAAGTTCAATAAACTATTAAATTTTGTCAGTTAAAGACACAAATAATAGCAGAATTCATATCAATTTTTAATATTTTCCAATGGTTTGATTGATTTTGTTAACTCTATAGTAAATGTGATCATTCTTTGATTCGTGCAAACTCCGACACCTTACACCTATAAACATGATATATATTATCCTTATTTGTTTTTAAAGACAGGAGATATATGTACAGCAGAAAGGCAAGAACATCTGACCATATGTTTGTTTTTAAATGTATTTTTGAACAATACTGTAATTCTAAGGATGGGAGAGTGTTTGCTTGCTTTATTGATTTTTATAAAGCCTTTGATAAAGTAATGCATACAGGAATGAGAATTAAGCTGTTAGAGAGAATAACTGAATTCTTTCAAACCACGCTTGGTGTCAAACAAGGAGATAACTTGAGTCCTAACTTGTTCAAAATATTTATAAATAGCCTTCCAGATTATCTTACACAAACCAGCGATCCAATTATGCTGGATGGTAAACTCATTCAATGCCTTATGTATGCTGATGACATTGTAAATTTTACCTAACTCAGCAGAAGGACTACAAGAGAAATTAAATAAGTTTCATGATTTTTGCAATGATTGGTGCTTAAATATAAATACTAAGAAAACTAAGGTGTTGATATTCAACAAGGCGGGCAGACATATATCACTCAGAAATTTATTTTTAACATAGATGGGCTGGAGTGTGTATCTTATAATAAATATTTGGGTATCCAGTTTAATGCCTCATGTTCTTTTTCATATGCTCAGAATGATTTATACCAAAGAGCCTTAAAAGCGTACTTCAAACTATGTAATGATTTTTTAGTGCATAATCCTACTGTTAAAATGCATGTTTTTGACCATACAATAAAGCCCATACTTTTAAATGGGTGTGGAATTGTGAGATATTTTAATTCCTTTACTGCACGTTTAAAAAAGAAACCACATCGGTGGATACAAATAGTTATCAAAGGTACCAGGCTCAGTACTGTCAAGTTTTCATGAAGCAAATGCGTCAGATTTGGCCAAAATTGTAAAGATCAAAGAGAAAAAACAATAGATCAAAGGAAAATGCCGCCAAATATGCATGAAAATGCGTGAGTCTCACGTGAGACTTGGCAGCCCTGTAGGCTTATAATTTAATACGCCAGACGCGCGTTTCGTCTACATAAGACTCATCAGTGACGCTCAGATCAAAACATTTATATAGCCAAACAAGTACAAAGTTGAAGAGCATTGAGGACCCAAAATTCCAAAAGGTTACTCTAGAATATTTTGTGAAAAAGTACATATTAAATTCTGCAAGTATATTTTAGGTGTTCATAGAAAAAGTCAAAATCATGCAGTTTTGTCTGAATTAGGACGTTTTCCACTGCATTATGATATAGTCAAACATGTTTTAGTATATTGGCATCGTTTAGAAAATATTGGTTCCTCATTTCCCTTGTTAAAAGTTGCATATGATTGTTCTAGAAAGCTATTTGAAACAAGAAAGCCCTCTTGGTATGAATCAATTAATGTTTTAAAGGAAAAAATGGCAGGTATAGAAAACCATATACCAGCAAAATATTCAACATTTAAATTACACCCTGGTCAGATTGTTAAGGAATACTATACTGCATTGTGGAAAAAACAGCTACATATATATAAAGATGGTAAACTACAAACTTATGTTACATTCAAGTGTAATTTTGGTTTTGAAAATTATTTGTCAATAATGCGACTTTTTGAGCAAAGGAAATGTATTACTAGATTAAGAATATCTACTCACAAATTGCAAATTGAATCTTACAGATACCAAGGTACTCTTCATCTTCGCTAGCCAAGGGTTACGATCCACTTCCCTCATCTCCACCCTTGGCAGATTAAGCCAACATTTGTGATAACAATGTTGCGCCATCTATCGGTAGATTAAAGTCACACCCATTCCGAATACATTATTCTTGACCAATGGTAGCACTTGAACTCTTCAATTTGGAGGTAAAAACACGGTAGCGTCTAGATTCTACACACTTGGTAAAGCAGGAAACGAAAATATACGTTGACATTCATGCATTTGTGCAAGAAACATACACAGGAACTTCTATTAATTGATTAAAAACATTCAAATTGTCACTAAATATAGTCGTATGTTCAGGGATGTAAAGACTTGTTGCACAATAAGCACGTGGCAATTGTTTACATACACTTTCTACATTTACACGTGATCATGTATAGGCGCTTTTTGATTGGATGCAGCGAGTTTCGACTGCAACCAATGAAAATCATTACCTTGTGTCTCCGAAATTCTATCTCAATCCGCCAAGGGTGGAGAGGAGGGAAGTGGATCGTAACCCTTGGCTAGTGAAGATGGGTACTCTTCGACAAAACCGAATTTGTCTCAGGTGCTCCTCAGGTGAGGTTGAAGATGCAGTTCATTTTTTATTTAAATGTGACACCCATTTATTGAAAAGAGAGGAATTGATGCAAAGTATATTAAAATCGTGTCCAAACTTCTAATATTTACATACCAACAACAAATTAATTTGGATAATGAATAATGAGGATGCCTATGTACTATTTGCATTTGATAAATATATAAATTAAAGATACTAATAATTAATGGAAAACATAATCTGCAATAACTAATTTCAATTTAACTCTTTAACATGAGTTTTGGATACTCTGTTAAGCCTGCACTGATCATAAGAAGAATTTCATATTCTCTGGCACCGTCCATTGATGATCTTTGCTGGTCAGACACAGAATCTATAATCTTAAAAGTATATTTTTAAAATACGTTTTTAATAATTTAGGAGTTTGACTCATCTGCATTAAGTACAAGTTGGGACTTCCTTAAAGCATTGACTCTTGGTGCGTACTGCAGATTAGTCATAATATCCTTTATTCAATGTTATTTGCAGTATACCTCATAGTTAAATGTGTGGGTTTTTTTTTTTTGTTTTTTTTTTTATATATATATAGAGATTTCTCCGTACAAACTACTTAAGCCACTTGTTTATTTAATAGTCAAAATATACTTACCACTTGGGTCAATGTCAACATAATATTAATTGAATTATATCGATTTTTCATTATCGATTTTTATTGAAATAATGCACTATTATACCCCTATGGGGTTGATGACATGAAAACAAAATAACACATTACATAATACATCACAAAAATAATAATAAAAAATACATGCTTTCATATATGTACATATCATGCCGTTGTTGAATCCACTCTCCTCAGTGACCAAGACTTTTTAATAAATGGAGCCGCATACCGCATAATTGACGGACATGAAAGACATAAAATCAATTTATCCAATTTATCCATCTCATTTATATTTGAACAGATATTTTTACTTTTACTTAGGAATTCAAGTCTCAGTCAAGTTTTCATTTTGTTTACATTTAAATAAGAAATGATCTTCGTCATCTATTTTATTTAAAGAACAATATTGACATAAACGTTCTTCTCTTTTTATGTTTCTGTGCCTCCCCCTTTCAATTTCCAAAATATGATCACTTAATTACCCTTAATTTAGTAAAGCATTTCCTGGACTCAGTCTGGTTTCAAAGTTATTTTCTTTAAGTAAATATGGTTCAGTTTCATAAAATTAATCTTTTTAACTTTACTATAAGTATATAATTTATCATTTTCCGTAAAAGAGTTTAATTTCTTAAAGATCAACTTTTTATAGTTTTCTTGTATATAAATCTCCTTCATGTTTATTTGATATATTGCTATTATTTTGTTGTGTGTTTCTTGTTTTTTTTGTTTTTTTTTGTTTTTGTTTTTGTTTTTGTTGTTTTTTTTTATTATTACACATGTTACAAATCTATAGTCTAGTTTGCATTGCATATGTTATTGTTCATAATGATATTGTTTATATGCTATATACCCTACTGGGGCCCTAATTTGGTGAATGAAAGTATTCTCTAGCAAACATCGTTTAATTTCCGGTCAGGCTGATGCCTGTTTATAGTATTCCCGTTCTCTTTAAATCCAACGGCTGCCACTGTCCGTTGTCACTTGGCAAAACAACGCAGGTAACCCTTTCGGAACACCTGGAATAAATAATGTGGAAGTACCCGGCTTTTCGGTGTTATTTATAAATACGGTGATGTGATCGTTGTATATGGTATAATTCAGTTGTCTTACTCTTTAATATACCGTCACTTTGGATTTTCAATTTCTTACTCGTTTTTTCTTAGATTTTTATCTCACAGAATCTATTTTTAACTTTAAAGGTCATGAACTAGGACACTAAGTTTTATCTGGTCTCATGCGGTATGATAGACGTATCTATTTATACTTAGCAAAATTAACACAAAAGAGAAGAACAATGGACGATGGTTATCCGCAAATGATACTAGAAGCCACCAAGCGGATTAAACCACACATATGGAAGACGCCTCTATTGCACTCATCTTATTTAAGTGATTCTGTTAAAAAGATAAGTGTGTTCATCAAACTAGGTCAGTACACATAAATAAACATAACTTTTATTTTTAATTTTGTGTTAGACGTGTAGTCTGTAAAATTACCATTTAGCACCGTGTGTCAGTATTGATATTGATTTTTTGGTACATTTCACGATGTGTATTTGTTGTCACCACTGGACTGTAAATATAAAGCTGATCGATCATAGCTGTACCAATAGTATATTTTGTTTATCGCCAACATTTCGATGTTTTCAATGTTACACAAAAAAATCAAAGCTTAAGTACTATCAATATACATTTTACCTGTAACCAAATAATCGTTGTGACATTATTATAATGATATCAAATCAAAAAAAATAAATAAATATGTTTACAAACAGGCCCGTAGCCAAGAATTTCCAAAGGAGGGGTTCGATACAATATAGTCCAAATAATTATGACGTCTTGAAAGGCTATTTTAATTTTTTTTTCTGTGACGCCTTCCAACGACGGGAAGGCGTCACAGAAAAAAGAAAAAAATTAAAATAGCCTTTCAAGACGTCACAATTATTTGGACTAGATACAATCATACTCAACTTTAACAGTTACAATTCAAACAGAACGTCGACTTTAACAGTGCTTATTTGTTTTCAAAGGATGGGGGGGGGGGGGGGGGGGTTTGTACGAACCCCTCGAACTCCCCGCCCCCCATTGGTTACGGGTGTGACAAACAACAAATTGTAAAGATTGTGCTGTAGTTGAGCCCTAGACTTGTGGTTGAACTTCATCAATGTTCATCACCTAGATCATGAACACCCAGAGTTACAAGCTGTTTTTAATTCATTTTTCACTTAATAAAAAAAATAGAAATAAATATATCCGAATTTGATTTCAAAGTCTTAATCAAGTGTTCGATCTTCAGTGACCATGCGGCTAGTTACATTGGAACATATTTTTTACGGTTTATGCACTGCCGAAAGCGAACCTTAAACTTACCGGCTATCGATACTGCTGATGCGATCGGTAACACAATGGAAGTGTTATATTGACAAGATAATACTTCCATGATGGTAACACCTATCCGATGATTGACAAGTAGGTAATTATATTCGCATTTTCTACTGTGTACAGTACTTTAATATTAAAATTTTAAAATGTGGTTTGATTGCCAATGAAACAACTATCTACCCGTGGCCAAACGACTAGGTTTAAGCAACTATAGGTCACCCTACATCTTTAAAGGATTAGCAAGACTCATACCGCAAAGTAAGCTATATGTAAGCTTATGCCATCACTTGGCGTCCGTCGTCGTCCGTCGTCTGTCGTCGTCGTCTGTTGTCGTCTGTCGTCGTAAACTATTTCAAAAATCTTCTCCTCTGAAACTACTGGGCCAAATACCTTCAAACTTTAACTAAATGTTCCTTAGGGTATCTAGTTTATAAATTGTATCCGAAGTTTTGATCCATCGACAAACATGGCCGCCATGGCTAAAAATAGAACATAGGGGTCAAATGCAGTTTTTGGCTTATATCTCAAAAACTGAAGCTTTTAGAGCAAATCTGACATGGGACTAAATTGTTCAATTGGTCAAGATCTATTAGCTCTGAAATGTTCAGACGAACCGAACAAACCATTGTTGGGTTGCTGCCACCGAATTGGTAGTTTTAACAAAATTTTGCAGTTTTTTGTTATTATTTTGAATATTATTATAGATATATATAAACTGTAAGCAGCAATAATGTTCAGCAAAGTAAGATCTACAAAAAAGTTAATATGACCATAATTGTCAATTGACCCCTTAAGGAGTTATAGCCCTTTAAAGACAATTTTACACAATTTGTTCATCAAGTTTGCTAACATTTAAAAATCTTCTCCTCTGAAACTACTGGGCCAATTACCTTCAAACTTTAACTAAATGTTCCTTAGGGTATCTTGTTTATAAATTGTATCCGAAGTTTGTATCCATCGACAAACATGGCCGCCATGGCTAAAAATAGAACATATGGGTCAAATGCAGTTTTTGGCTTAAATCTCAAAAACTAAATCTTTTAGAGCAAATTTGACAGGGGTAAAATTGTTTAATTGGTCAAGATCTATCGGCCCTGAAATTATCAGACGAATCGAACAACCCATTGTTGGGTTGCTGCCACCGCATTGGTAGTTTTAAACAAAATGCAGTTTTTTGTTATTATTTTGAATATTATTATAGATATATATAAACTGTAAGCAGCAATAATGTTCAGCAAAGTAAGATCTACAAAAAAGTTAATATGACCAAAATTGTCAATTGACCCCTTAAGGAGTTATAGCCCTTTAAAGACAATTTTACACAATTTGTTCATCAAGTTTGCTAACATTTAAAAATCTTCTCCTCTGAAACTACTGGGCCAATTACCTTCAAACTTTAACTAAATGTTCCTTAGGGTATCTTGTTTATAAATTGTATCCGAAGTTTGTATCCATCGACAAACATGGCCGCCATGGCTAAAAATAGAACATATGGGTCAAATGCAGTTTTTGGCTTAAATCTCAAAAACTAAATCTTTTAGAGCAAATTTGACAGGGGTAAAATTGTTTAATTGGTCAAGATCTATCGGCCCTGAAATTATCAGACGAATCGAACAACCCATTGTTGGGTTGCTGCCACCGAATTGGTAGTTTTAAACAAAATTTTGCAGTTTTTTGTTATTATTTTGAATATTATTATAGATATATATAAACTGTAAGCAGCAATAATGTTCAGCAAAGTAAGATCTACAAAAAAGTTAATATGACCAAAATTGTCAATTGACCCCTTAAGGAGTTATAGCCCTTTAAAGACAATTTTACACAATTTGTTCAACAGGTGAGCGATTCAGGCTCTTGAGAGCCTCTTGTTTTTAAAAACCGGCAGCCTGATTTAATACAAACCAATAAACAGAAAAGAAATATGATAGACAGCAACCACTGAAAGGTTATGTTTTTATGTTTTTAGTTTAAACATATTTTATTTGCTTAAATATGCAAAAGGAATGAGACACAAGTTAATCAAACTTATAAAGTCTTCTCCCATGAACAATTTATAACAATAGAATATTTACAAAGCATGCATGCAAACAATACAATACATTATATATACTGGATATGTAAAAAGATGATGTGTGATAGTGAATGGTTGTACACAATATACTTGTATATGCATTTTAGTGCGCTATGTTATAAAATTAGAAACCTCTTTGACTCTTTGATAAATTCATATACATTCTTTAAAATTATTTCATTTTCATCATTATTTAATGACGAATCACCGGAGGTTAAGATGTTCAAATTTAGTGGAGAGTTCTCTGGTAACCAGTTCAGATTATTAGATATTTTGATTCTTATATTCACATAACTAGGACATTTAAAAAAGAAGTGATATAAATCTTCACGCTTAGCACGACAACGACAAGACGGATCTAAAATGATATTGACTATATTAAGATCATGATTCAAAAAAGAAACTGGGCATCTAAGTTTAGAAAATGATATTGAGTTTACGATTGCCAAATGCATAATGTTTAGGTACTTGGGCTTTTGAATTCAGTTTGATATTTTTTAATGTTTCAGATACTGATAATGCAATAGGCCAATTCTTTAAGATATAAATTTAGGACAAAAATATCAATAAATCAAGTTGTGCTTTCACTCGTTTTCAAAAAAAAAATTTGTTAATGATGACATATATCTAAAAAAAAAACTACTACTGAAGATTTCTTTAAAAGATTTCTGGATTTGGAAACAACTATGGATTACATGAATTAAGCATATTTTACAACTTTTGTTTCCGATTCCCTTTTCCTAACAAAATACATTTAGTTCAGTAAAAGTATGTCCAGTCTGCTGTACATGATAACAAAAAAATATTGACAGACCAAATTCAATCGTGTTAAAAAAAACAGAAATGGTTCTATTTCGGTAAAAAAGTCGTACAGGGTCCACATCTATTTTTACGAATGCAAAAATGTGACGAGAAATTGTATTTTAAAAAAGGTTTATATATTATAAATTTTTGCTTTGAACCAATCAGCTGTTCTAAAACATTTAATAAGTAAAACTAAATCAAAATGTTCTGGACAACACATATGTTATATACACTTATTAGTTTTAATAAATCATTATTGTCTTATTAGTTTATAATTTTAGTTTGTTTATTATTTTATGAATAATTACAACAATTATACATTGTGATAATCTGCCCTAATGCCTTAAGGCTTTAATGGCCAACTTGATTATATGTAACTGTATCTGTATTTTTGTAGTCGAACCCCCTGTTACTGCTATTCAACTTCCAATTATTTACGGGGCCCCGAGTGATCTAAGGTAGTGCAACTGCTGTATCACCAGCCTGTCAACACTGAGGTTGTGAGTTCGAACCTAGCACGTGGCAGGTGCGTTCGATTCCAATCTTAATTGACTAGAACTGTCAGTTTTCCTGCCCAAGGTCGATGGTTCTCTCCGGGCACTTCGGCTTCCTCTTCCAATAAAAACTGGCCCCTTGCGAAATAGCCAATAGTGCTGAAAGTGGCGTTAAATACCAACAATCAATCAATCCAATTATTCACATGTGATCTATTACTTGTGGAACTTGCAAGCTGCAATATGTTGGCGAAGCAGAAACTAAATTCAACATCAGATTAAATAATCACCGGTCATTTTATACCAAAGGAAGAAACTACCCAATTACGAGACACCTCTTAAGAACAGGACATTCTTTTGAAAATATCACCTAATCAAATAATAATAGAGGTCAACCAAAATTGTGAAACTCAAAGTAGAAACAGAGAGAGAGAGGTTTTGGATGCATCAGCTACATACTCTTGAACATGATGGACTGAATGAGAGAGATGAAAAACAGTTTTATCAAAAATATCTTAAAATGAAACATATCAGCAGCATATCAGATATTAAAAAGACCCGATCTACGATTGTCCTCAGCTTGTAGAATTTTAATTCCCTAGCTAATAATCAATTTGGAACTGTTCGGTCTACCATGAATATAGTGTTGATGGCAGATCGTTGATATAGTCTCACTAAATATTTACACACGGCGCGATTATAAACGTAACAGACTATATAGGAACCCATCGGATTGTTTATTGACCTCAATAAGTGTTTTTGAGTCTGGGTCGTTTGGTTGCTATATACTCGTTGACGCATACACAGCATCAACTGTTATTCACCGGATACTTTTATATAAGTATTTAACTGTTTGTTTTATAGAAAGCGATCAGCTGACTGGTTCATTCAAGGTTCGTGGCGCATTTAACAAATTTTTACAACTTCTGGAGACAAATCCTGATATAAGAAAGACTGGAGTATATACTGCATCATCAGGAAATCATGGCTTGGCATGTGTAAGTTTTTAGACAATTAAATGGCATAAACATAAATTTAAATCTGAAAATATGCCTGAAGGAAACGTAAGTATTCATAATACATTTTGTAATATCCACATTCCAGACTCACATATACTCTGCAAAATAAAAAAGAAAGCCATAGGTCCGATTCATTTTAAATGTAAAGTCGACAATAAATAAATATAAATATTAGATAATTAAATGTTTTAGCAATGGGTTATTAAAGCTATTTAAATACAGATTGCCAATACGAGCAATTTGGAATCTAGCTAAGTGTATTTTTTCGAGGCCTGAAAAATGAACGATGCAATTACCATGCAGAAAACTGTTCATGTATTCCACGGGAAAATTGTATTTAATTCACCTGTCAAACAATCGTGTACAAAACTTTGGCGTTAAAAAGATTGATTTCAATTGCTACTGTGAAATGCCGCTATGCCAGGATTGGACCCTGCTACGCCATTCGTCACAACTCGGCCGATTCCGTACCTTATCTAACGGATAGAAGGAGAGTAGCGTAGTCACCCGAGGATTGCCGAATGCCTGCTACGCGTAATGTTCAACGTCCTCGGCCTTTTATAGGCAGGACAATTTGACATTTATATAAAATACCGACCGTGCAAGGGCTGTATAGCCAGTCAAGGTCGTTAAAATCTTCCATTTGTTGTATTCATATGTAAAATGTTTGCTCACTATTAGCTAAAGCATTGCTGGGATAAAAATCGGTTCCAAGCATACAATTGTGAAAATACCAGTTTACGTTTCTTTTTGCAGAGTATATTGTGGAAAATTACATATTCGAATCTTTACCATAAATGTATAAACAATCAACATATACAATGTCATTGCCCTACAAAAGCAAACATGTCGATTTCATTTGATGAGTTTAAAAAAAAACGTTGGATACAGCTGAAATGACTTACTTTTTACTCAAATAATCATTTTCCCGTATTTTGATCTCTCCTTTTGAAGTCCTAGCAAAAATAACGATCTGGTTTCTATTTGGTTAGCTAGTTGTTTTCTCCTCTCGATTTGTTGGTAAGTGTAAAATAAAAAGGAGAAGAGAAGATACCATAAGGAGCAATACAAAAACATAGGCCAAAGAACATCAGACAAGATCATCAAACAATGAAAAGATAAACAAGGGTCCACAAAACACTATACACAGAAATCTAAAGATTACGAAATACGAACCCCAGCAAAAAGGTTGGTTACATCGAGTACACCTAAAGTATACATGTAATCAGTTTCTGTTCCACTAGTGGAACACGTGGTAACAATAAGTTTTTATCGTATTGACTTGGTAGTAGGTGTTCCCATTTGTTTTTCTCTCAATTCGCCAGACTGGCTTACGACTGGCTTTGACAGTAATAAACTCACGTACCAGCAGTAATTTATATTCTCTGATTATCAGTAATATGGTATTTCAAAAAAATTGAAAAAAGGTAAAAAGTATAGTCCCTATGTTTGGCTGAAAAGTCGAAGTCATTTGTTAGATATTTTCAATTTCCAGAATATCTATATTATAACTGGTTAATTTCTTAATCTTTCTTAACACAATTTGTAATAAATTTGACTATGCTTTATTTTTTGTTTTAAATTATTATTTCCTTGATATCTTCTACAAAAGAAAAAATCCCCCCTTTATAAAAAATAGATCTCCTGAAAGTTCAATACACATAGTCTTTTTATTTTTCAGTTAGAAGCAGCCAAGGTTTTAGGTGTTCCTCTGACTATATATTGTCAAGAAGGAGTTGATCCTGGTAAGAAGGATAACCTATTACACGAAGGAGCAAAATTGGTCCTACATGGTAATGATTGTGTAGAGGCAGAACTGAAGTCAAGATCAGATGCTGAGGTAACACGAATAAATAGTATTTATTACATTCAAATGATGTGAACAATTGTTTTAGAAATTGACAGATTACCACATATTATTTTCAATACCTGTGGAAGTCAAATTCTATCCTGTCCTTGTATTATTATGTTTATAGAGAGAGGGGAAAAACATATTTTGGTTTGAAACGGATGGTGGTATATCAAGCAAACGAACATATAAATAATAATCATATTCGATTTTATTGCGTTTACTATGTCGCACCGGGTCAATACGCTAGGAGACCAAAAGCATGGAAAGCAAAATACATAAAAACAATAAACACAATTAAAACTTTAAAAGTGTTGCAAACCTAAATGCATTATTCAATTAATGTTTTACATTTGCATGTCGGGGTCTTTTAAAGTTTTCAATTCTCGCGGTTCGTATTTCTGGAATACCCGAGACCAACTGTTTGGGTAGCCTAATACATACATAGTTTGTGAACTACTGAATCAAATGATAGATGTTCAATAAATCTTCAAAATCAATGTCTTTCTTATAAATATCCGGAGTTAATAAACATTGATGACAAAGGAGGTACAGAAAAAATTATATAAATTTAAAGTACAATGACATTCATACACAATGTTTTAAATAAAGTAAACTTGTGTGTATTGCAGGTAAGTATGTAAACTGTAAGTATGTAAACAACTCTTCTTTCTTCGATCAATCAATGCTGATTGGATAAGATATAAATAAATAGACGTCTGAATGAGTAAGATATATAGATACATGCTTCATTAGCAAAAAAAAAAATATACAGATGAAAAGACATTTAAATGAATAAGATATATTTAAAATAGAAATATAAATGAATAAGATATATTCAAAATATAAATATAAATATAAATGAATAAGATATAGATGAAAAGGCATCTATAGTATATATGAATAGACATATGAACGAATAGGATATAGATGAATGAACATATAAATGAATAAGACACAGATGAAAAGAAATTTAAATGAATAAGATATAGATCGTTTTTAGAACTTTAATTTCAATTCAGGCGAATGGTACAACTTATGTCTCTCCATACAATGATCGCACGGTAGTAGCAGGGCAAGGGAGTATTGCGTAAGTATCAAAATAATTATCCACATCGTTTATTTGAAAACGCTGTTTTGTTACATACGTCAAAGCACAACGTATTAATATTTTGCATACATGTACGTCTAAGTTCTATGTCCTGAACTTTAAGTGTTTTTTTTCGAGTTGATTCTCTTTTGAAATATCCAGAGATAATGGAACAGGACAGTCACAATGTTTTCGTTTTAAAATATTTTAAAATATATTTAAAGCTTGTATACATAATTTGCAGTAAGGATATAATATACATTGGAGTACAAACAGTCCGAATCACCAAACAGAACAATTGAGTGTCGTCACGTTAAGAATTACCTTATGCATAAATGAACCATCATGTTTAGTTTTTAAAATAAAGTTGTAAATGCTCATTCATAATTATTTTTAATTTTGTAAAAGATTTATCTTTATTTCATGTCAATTTACTGGTTCTTTTACCCCCAATGCATAGGTTGGCATAGTCGTATTTGGCACAACTTTTTGGAATTGTTGGTTTTTATGCTCTTCAAATTCGTATTTGATTTCACCTCCCAAATGTTTTAATTAGAGCACCACTGATGAGTGTTATGTAGACGAAACACGCGTCTGCCGTGCACAATTATATTAAGGATGTACTTAGGTCAGGTTTAGGAATTTTTGTCGGACTCCTTCGTTTTTTTCATACGATACAGGGTAAAATGTTTTGCCTCATAACACCCATTTTTCTTTTCATATAAGACTTCAAAAGCTCATAAAAGGTCATTTACCAAAATTTAAGCAGATTCTAGATTTCTTTCTTTCGATTTGAGACCCAAATAATACCAATGCAAATAGAAGGTTAAAGCTTTTCCAGTCATTAAATTAAATATCTCGAAAAGGAGCTCCATAACCTATCAATATATTTAGCTTATTTTGTTCCTTAACTAATGCTCTTCTGACTTATAGTATCAATTTTGAATTATAGATTTTTTTTAATTTCACCTAAGTACATCCTTAAAGCCTGTTATCTTTGATGAGTTTTTACAAAAAAATAAAAGGGATAAAAATAAGTCAGAATACACAGTAACTCATAGAAAAAGAAAACTATCATGGCCAATTGACATTTCCACAGTTTACATGTGAAAGTGTTGCCATTTAAATATCAAAATTTGCATTATACATGTGTACTATCGAAATAACACACAAATGAGGCATATCTTTGTGTCAACAGCTATTTTCTTTTGATTAACTGCATATACATCTCCCATATAATTGCAACCTTTTCAATGTGTACATTATTACATTTAAGCACGCTCCTTAACATACTTTCAGCGTTGAAATTTTTGAAGAGTTCCCTGAGGTCGATGCCGTTTTAGTTCCTGTCGGGGGAGGTGGACTGATTGCTGGAATTGCCAGATACATAAAACAAGTGAAACCCTCAACGAAAGTAAGTCAGTTTACACAGCAACGCTGTAAATTTCAATGGAAAAAAGTATGTGTGGATAACCAACATGCAATAAACCATCTTTCAACTTTGTACCGGAAAATATTAATATGATATAAATATGGAGGCCGTAGGGTTGCATATAATTGCTTACATCCACTTCATTTGAACTCTAGTGATTAGTTGTCTCATTGGCAATTATACCACATCTCCTTATTTTTGTATGGAGTCATAAGACTGGCACAGTGAGCCGGATTTTCCTCTGCTATTTCAGAAAGTTAGTCTTTTGTCACCCAAATAAGACACACTATCTTTATTCCGTATGGAATATTCTTTTTCTCCTCTTTAGTGCCTTCTTTTCACGCCATCATCGACAATGTGGCATTAGTTTATCCCACAAACCTCCACTCTTCTTATAAACTCGATGCCGCTAGGGTGGTTCAATAAAAAAAACATGTTATTCAGGTTAAAGGTTGAATGAGGTTACACTATCGACAATATATGTAGTTATCTAGTGACATAATATTTTATGGTAACTTATCGTTTTTCTTTCATTTGATTGACAGAATACAGGTTGTCATGTTGATCGAAGCGTACATTATAATGGTACATGTACATATAAGACAATAACTACCTCTTCCTGTACGATTAGTGTAATAATCTAAAGAAGAAAGATTATCACTTTCACAGAAACATCTCATTTAACAGTCACTGTTATGTGCATGCAACTGTAACGTATTTATTTGAAACAGTTAATTTTTTTAAGTTTGGGACACGAAAAAACTCAAAGATGCCAGGCTTATAATTTTTACACCTACAGTTTCACCATTGGGTTCGAACCAAAGAAGTCAGCAATCCAAGTAAAACATGAAAGCCAAAAATTCCGAAACATTATGCCAATAAAATATGGGAGATCACATGTTCTAGTCATATGTTACAATTTATTCGTATTTTTTTAAATAAAAGTTTCAAAGTTCAGTGAGAAACTCACTTAGAAAGCATATCACCAGTTAACATGAAAACATATGTTACTGAAGGACACGTGGTTAGTGAATGAAAAGAAACGATGACAAAAGAAAAAAAATCAATACGAAAAAAAGAGAAGATGTGATAGTTCAATGAATTAAACTGGGGAACTTTATTTGACTAAACAAAAAATATCCGGAACAGACAATTAAATGCAAATTTCTGGATATTAGTATGTTTGGGTACCTTTGCATAATTGAACCAGGAAAGACCTTTTTCATTCAAATTACATTAAAACAATGAAATAATTATTAAATGTATTTTAAAAAAGTAAGAAACAAGGGGTTATCAACCACGAGAAGTTGCAGGAAAGTAAAAGAAGAGATCTGAAGACAAGCGTTCATAAAATAATACATGAAACAAAGTTCAGTTACAGGAACTCCTCACTTTAAGCAATGAGAGAACACAGATCCTCCAGAAAGGTCAACAGATCTTGCTTTAAAAATTTCATATTAAATGCTTTTGTCGTTAACCTATAAACTGCATAGTACAGCCAACTTGAGTTTTACTCGCATAACTTCATTCTAGTTTAACACATGTTCTTAAAAATTGTTTTCTAATAATTAATAACAGCGAAATTTAGTCACTTCATCGATCAAAAGCACTCTGCGTATCGCAAATAGATTTATTGTGTATATTTGGCAGATTTTGCTTTGATTTCCAGGTATATGGCTGTCAGCCTAAAAATTCAAAGGTAATGTACGAGTCAGTGAAAGCCAATAAAGTAATATTTGAGGAATCTTATCCAACACTATCAGACGCTACAGCGGGCGGATTAGAAGAGTCTACGGTAAGTTGAGAAATAGCATTCAAAATAGATATTGGTGGTCGAATCTGAACAGAACGACGGCCAAATTATTATAAAGATGAAGAGCGTTCAAATTATAAAATTCCCAGAAGTTGTGGCGCATATATACCTGTGGAGAAAGGGATTGGAAAAACAGTATTTCGAATAATTTCAAAATTTTACGAACAGCTGATATGCTTCAATACACGTCATTTGGACTCGTGTGGCAGTTGTCATATTGGAAATCATACCACACCCTCTCACCTTTATATTTAATGAATAAAGGAGAAACAAGATACAGTGCAAACTGCACAGATCTCAATCAGGAGCACAGTATCATTACACAAGTTGGAAGTTTGAAGCATATTATTTAAACTTTTTCTCATGACATTGTCTGTACCAAGTCAGTCATATCATGATCGCGCAGTGACTGCAATAAATTTCATCGGATTTTTATTCTTTTTAAGATAGTATTAATCTTCAAAACTACTCAACAATGTTGCGAAACAATGACATCACAAATTAAAAACGAACACCAGACAGAGAATTTATCTTTCATGATCATTCTTTCTCTCTTCGTCTTATATGTACAAATATACTTCTCCGACTGGTCATTAAAATTAAACAAAAAGTAAAATAACGAAAATACCGAAGGAAATTTCAAATAGGAAAGTCCCTTATAAAATGGCAAAATCAAAAGCTCAAACACAACAAACGAATGGAAAACAACTGTCATATTCCTGACTTGGTACAGGAGGCATTTCCTTGTGTAGAAAATGGTGAATTAAACCTGGTTTTATAGCTAGCTAAACCTCTGACTTGTATGACAGTCGCATTAAATTCAATTATAGTGACAACAATGTGTGAACAAAACAAACAGACATAATAGGTAAAAATGTCAAAAATAGGGGTACAGCAGTCAACACTGTGTTATAATCTTAATCACTATAAAAACAAACAAATATGTCAACAAAGAAAAACAAAATGACATAGACATAGGACTTGCAAAAATGAAAGACAATAATAAAAAAAATGACCACAGCACAACAACACATTGCCGGGATGCATAAATACCGAGCCACGCCAAAAGGATATTACCAAACATGGACTAAACAGTAAAGGTAAATAGTTTACAAAGACAAATAAAAGAACCCTATAAACACGTAATGAAGATGATAAACAACGTCAGTACCTGGAATTTATACTTCAAGACCATCATGTATTATTTGTGAAGTTGATACGGAATATTTATCAAAGTATTCATAACCCTTGCAGTTTTTTTCAACTATTATATAAACTGCTTGTTTCCCTTAGGTAACATTTCAGCTATGCCGAGATTTTGTAGATGAATGGATAATGGTAGAAGAAGAAGACATAGCAAAAGCTATTATGTTTATGGTAGAAAAACATCATAAGGTATACAATATCAGATTTAAAAAAAAATCCAATTTCCTTATGTAATTGCACCTTATTGCCCTTTTGTATTGTAAGTAGATAATTTAACATTTGATTTTTTCTGACGAATTACTATGCGCAGATACATCGAAAACCGGCATTCCAATTATTCTTATAGGGGGAAACGAGAAGGTATAATCAGGCATGAAATAAGGACGAAAAGACGGATGCAATTTCTTTTTAAATAAGGTCTTGGTTCATATCTAGTTGCTCCAAAAACTGTGCGTAAAATATCAATTTTATACCGTGACGATCCTTTTAATTTACCAAAAAGCAAAACATAATTTGAGAGGATTGAAGAATTTTACTATTTTTGAAATTTTAGAGGTCAGGAAATGGCTTTTATCATAGTTTATTACACCCTTTACAATTTTAAATCTAGGAATGCCTTGTATGTGTTGATGTGTTTCCCTCGGTTTTGGTTTGTGACCCGAATTTGTTTTCGCTCAATCGATTTATGACTATTGAACAGCGGTATACTACTGTTGCCTTTATTTGTATAATGGGTAGACTGTATGTATGGTTAGTTAAAAGGGGAGACAATAACAATTTTCAAATAAGCTTTTTGTGTGGATTATTTTAACATCATATGACTATCTAACAGTAGCGTACTTCAATTTAGGTTTGATATAAATATGTTCAACGTAAAAGTTTAACTATGTCACGACCTCTATTTTCCGTTTGCTTGATCAAAATGTGACCTGTCCATGAAGAAATTAACCAGAAACCGTGTCATAGTCCTATGAGAGATGTATTGCATGTAACACATTAGTAGTAAAAGTACAATAGAGACCACATTTTCTGTTGTATTACATGGGCAAACGTATAGTTCAAAAACATTTGTACTATTAAGTTGCACACTCTGCTTTATGATACTTATATAAAATTACAATAATTAACATTTTTAAATCTATTTTCAATACAAAAACAAATGGTACAAGTAAAATAATACTAAATACTACCATGTTAAAGATAGTCCGTGATTGCTCTGAAGTATGGCAGCCTTTTTAGGACTCATCATAGCGCAGTGTATATAGAAAACATGAACATTGCCGACCCAGCCTAGGTGCACGACGGTAGGTTTCTATCTTGAAGTCGTAAATGATTCATCTTCTAGTAGATAAATCATACATCATTTGATTCCTCATTCTTATTACTCCACCAAATTGTATTGTGTATTAACGTTCTAAACCCCTTAACAAACGAACGCTTTATTTCATCCACCCGCCATTTTCAACGACATACTTTCACGGCCCCATCAAGTCCTAAAAACCTCGCCAGAGCAATCTCGGACTATGTTTAATAAAAAAAAAAGCTGTAATTGTACGAAATTGCATGTTGATTAACATAACTACAATTTACAATCATTCACAGCAGGTCTGATAGCAAGAGACTATTACATCAGTAGACCGGAGTAACTTTTTCAACGAATAATTACAATACCAACAATTTAATGGAATATAATGCACTTGTCGTTGGTTCTTACGTTTGAATTGTTTGACATTTTGTTATGTTTCCCTTTATAGCTGTCTACGGTATGGGTTTTGCTCATTGTTAAAAGTACGGTGATATAACAGTTGCTTACATCCACGTCATTTTGACTTTGATAGATAGTTGGCTCATTTGCAATTACATCACATGTCTGTTTTATATATAAGTTTATCTAACATTTACATTTGATACATATCATTTCATTCAGATAGTGGAAGGTGCGGCAGGAGTATCCATCGGAGCTTATATGACAAATATGGACAAGTTTTCTGGACAAAATGTTGTCATCATTTCATGTGGAGCAAATTTAAGTCTATCAATCATGCATGATATTGTATCTAAATATAAAAGTAAATAAAAGATAAGATTTTGTTCTTGTTTGGTTTTTTTGTCATTACGTTATTTTATTCAGCCACATGTATATTGTTCGTTTTATTTTCATCAAATGGTATAAAGCTAAACTATTAATTGAAACTGCAATATGTAAATTTTGTATTATTATGACTAATTACATTATAATGATTTGCATGTGGAGAAGACAAAACTAATAGACGTGTCCCATGAAAGGGTTCTTAAAAATGTGCATATGAGTTTATGGACTTGGCTTCTTTCAAATTTTTCCTTTTTGGTTTTTTTCTTGTATTGTATTTGTTAGAAATACAAAATTACCTATATTTATTTTAGAAAGAATAGAAAAACTAATTAGATTAGTAAAAAAACACAGAAATTAGGATTTTTGGCAACAGTATATATCGTCTCATTTAGATTTTAATCGTGGAAAGTTTCGGGGACTTATCGCACGACTTAGAATTGTTGGCAGATGGACCAAAAGATAGACATAGGGCACTGGCGACTGTCGACGGGGCCCTAATAAGCCCTTTTCTATAATAACATTCACGGTATATCAATTTCACTGAACCAGATGCGCATTTCGACAGTACATGTCTCTCACGTGATGCTCAAGCCAACATATTTGAAAATCCAAAACTTATTTAAATAATGAAGAGCTCATAACCCAAAGAGGACAAAAAGTATAGCTAAAGCCGCCTAAATTAGGAAATTCTCTAGAATTGAAAATATTTTCAAGAAAGACGATGTCGCCAATATTTTGTTAACAAGTATTATAACCCAAAAATTGTAATTATTATTATCATCATTGTATTGTTATTATTAATTGCGGTTTATGAAGTAAAATTTAGTTTGAATAGTACTACATGTATAGGGTACTCTAGTATTACAAATAGTATTAATTGAAGTTTATGAATCGAATTATTTGAAATGTTTTTGTAACAACAGAGACATACATACACGCATATATAAGTCTCTGGTTAAAATTGATAATGATAAAATATCGGACAACTTTAATTTTAGAATGCATAGAATTTCTAATCAACCCACACGATTGAGCTAAACGTGATATCTGTAAGATGACCAATAGTATAAATTTAGAAATGAAAAAAGATATATCTACCGGTAAAATGAGTATATTTTTTGCAACAGAAAGGTTCATGTTTAGCCGACACGTGTTTTTAACAACTAATGTCGTACCCGTGACATTAATATTAACAATCAAAGTACTGAAGTAAGTTCTTGTGGATGGTCACAAGCACTTGTCTCAGAAAAAAAATCACATCTATATACATGAAAGTGAGGTTAATGTACAGATATAAAAAAAATTCTGAGACAAGTTCGTGTGTGGATGATAAATAAATGATAGGGAATTCAACCTCAACGTAATAACTATTATATTGTAGTGATACAAATCAGTATACTCTGATTTGTTGTTATATATTATATTAATATTTGTATATAAGTAAACAGTTACATGTATATATAATTTTCATCCATTTGTATTCATTCTATTCTACTATATTAATAATAGTGCAGTGCATGTGCATGGTGGACACTCTTCTGTAAAAATTCGATTTTTATAATAGATTGGATTTGAATAGGCATTCATATTTTCCCGTAAAACGTTCAATCTCCCATGCAGAGTTATCGGTCCGAGAGAGAGAGAGAGAGTAAGGACCGATAACTCTACATGGGAGATTGCAAACGTTCTTGAGATATTCTTCCGCATGCGTTAACTTGTCACAATTTTTTCTGTACGTGTGCATAGATATTAATGATTTTTTACTTATATATATATATATATATAACAAAAAATTTTCTTATTATTAATTTATGTTCTAAAAAAAATATTTTATGAGTATTTATTGAAGAAATGAATTTATAACAAGCGATAAGGAATGTTATTTTGCACTCGATGATGTCCGCGTATTTATAGATTATAGATCGGTTACCAGTCAAACACGAAAGTTACGTAACGGAAATCTCTCTGTAACAATACATCGGAATGCCCTCACGGTCATCGCGATGTAAAAATGATATATGTATATATAAGATATAATAAGAAACCAATGTACTCTTACTTATAAATGATTACACTAAAGTAACCATTTAGAAATTGAAAGCAAATGAGATAGCTGATATTCTATATTTTACTAGACATCAAAATGTTCTCACAGAATTGTGTTTTCTTCTCAAGTTTGCAACATTTATTACATATTTTGAACCCTTCCGAGTTTTTCCTAGGCTGTGCATTTTAATTTGATGCCTAGTAAGTTCATTTTTATTTTGGTTTTTTTTATACCGCAAATACCTGAAATAAAAATTTAGTAAAGAGTATAAAATATCAAAAATACGGAACTCCAAGGAAAATTCAAATCGGGAAGTCCCTTATCAAGTGGTAAACTATTTTCGCGTGTTAATTTCTAAACTTGGTGTCTTTGATGATTTTAAATTCTTGGTATCTCTTATATGTTTTTTTTTATTTGTATCGCTTGCAATTGCGACGAAAATCGCTGAATGCGAGACACGGATTACAATCCGGCGGTTGCGGCGACGCCGTAAACTATTTGTATGAAGCTTTTATTTCAGTGAGTAGAAGATCTGGATGCTTCATACCTTATATGCAAATGCATTATGTTACGAAGTTTACGTCTGTCTTATGACCATTGTCTTGACCTCATTTTAATGGTTCAGCGACTGCTTGAACACAATTTCGATTTTTTTTTGTCATGTGAAATACTGCCTTATTATGAGTAATAGAATAACTATATTTAGTATATGTGATCCTTGCGAGGTCTACATGTCTGTCAGACAGGGTTCACCTGACCTCGACCTTATTTTATGGATCAGTGATCAAGGTAAAGTTTTCGTTGTCCAGTCCGTATCTCAGCCATAGGTCAACTATATTTGAAGTATGGTATGATTGTTTAGTGTACATTTCTGTCTAACATGTTTCATCTGACCTTCACATTTTTTCATGGTTCATTGGACAATCTTAAGTATTAATTTTGTATTTACATTGTGTCATAGATCAAATTTATTCGTTCAGTGTATGTTTACTTGTTTTTGTTAATATGTCTTTTGATTGAGTTAAGCCATTTCAATTTAAATTTTAAAGTGTGTCTTTCTATGTTGTTATGTTACGCTATTATTTCAGGTTAGGATGAAGGTTGGCGCCTGTTTAAACGTTTAAACCCATTGCACCTGTCCTAAGTCAGGAACCTGTTGTTCAGTGGTTGTCGTTTGTTGATGTGGTTCATAAGTGTTTCTCGTTTCTCGTTTTTATATAGATTAGACCGTTTGTTTTCCTGTTTGAATGGTTTAACACTAGTCATTTTTGGGGCCCTTTATAGGTTGCTGTTCGGTGTGAGCCACGGCTCCGTGTTGAAGGCCTTTCTTTGACCTATAATGGTTATCTTTTACAAATTGTGACTTGGATGGAGAGTTGTCTCATTGGCACTCATACCACATCTTCTTATATCTATTTATATGGATTTGTGCTTTTCTCAGATACTATAAGTAATAGGGCTACTATATTTGGTGTATAGAATGATTGTAAGGAGAACATGTCTTACCTTGACCTCATTTTCATGGTTCATTCGTCATGTTAATTGTTTAATTGTTTATGGTTATGGCTGTTTTTCAGTTACTATAAGCATTAGGTCAACTGTATTTGGTGTATGGAATAATTGCATAGTGTACATGTTGTCTAGCAGGGTTCATCTGACATTGACCTCATTTTTATTGTTAATTGGTCAATGCTCAGTTTGCGTACGTAGGAATGTTTCTCGCATACTACAAGCAATATGCTAACTATATGTGATGTATGATATGATAGCAAAGTGCCTGTGTACATGTCTGTCAGGCAGTCTTCATCTGACCTTGACCTCATTTAAAAGGATCAAATATATTGTTAAGATTATGTGAAACTTGTAGTAAAACCTTCATATTGCAAACTTTAAATATAAGTTCAATCACGATAAGTAATGCAGGAGAGACATTTCAGCGTATGTGTAACCCGGAAGATTTGGACAAATGTGAATTAGAAATAAAGCAAATTCAGACAATATATTTTAAGTGCTAAAGTGACAATTTGTTAATCTGTTTATCTCATCTTTTACCTTTCTTTGTGTTTAATTAATTCTATTGTTAAATATATATTTGTCGTAATGGAAATCACTTTGACGATGACACATTAATCCTTTTCTATAGATACTGTTTTTATATATGCTTTTGTATGTTATTTTGAAGTCAGTTGAGGTCTAAGGTCTGGTACTGTCCGGACCTTGCTAATAAAGTTTAAAGTATTGGTATTCCGTCTTTGAATTACTATAGCCGGAAAACTCCCGGTTATATATGCTTTCTTGTTTTTGTTAATTTTTGTTAGAAATAAAGAATAACCTATATTTTTTAGAAAGAAAATGAAAATAAATTAAATCAGTAAAGAAAACACAGAAATTTGTATTTTTTTGGCAACAGTATATATCTTATTCAGATTTTAATCTTGGAAAGTTTCAGGACTTTTCGTATGAAATAGAAGTGCTGGCGGACGGACAGACAGACTAATCGGTGGTACCGTAAGTAGTGTTCTTCTATATATTATACATTTCTCTAGGACTTAAAATATTTGCATGAAATATGATGTCGCTAAATCTGTTTGTTTATTTTAACCCAAAAAAGGTTATTAGTATTGTATGACATCCCATACAACCTTCTTGGTATTATTATCATTTATCATTATAATTATTATCATTTTATTATTATTATAACTTGTGGTTTGAGAAGTAAAATGTAGTGCAAATACATGTATATGGTACATGTACTCTAGAATTATCAATATACGTTATTGGGGTTTATGATTCAAACTGATGGGAATATTTTAGTTAAAGTTAATAAAGATAAAATGTCATATTTTCGGACAATATTTATTTTAGATTGCATATAATTTCAAATTAACAAGATTGGGCTAAACGTGATGTCTGTGAGATGACCAAGAGTTAATTACAAAATGAAAAAAAGATAAATCTACCGGTAAATGAGTATATTCAATGCAACAAAAAGATTCCCGTGTACTCGATACACGTTTTTTTTTTCATCAACTGACGTCATAACCGAGAAAGTTTATTAATAAATGAAATTGGAAATATAAATCAATTGTTTTAAAACAATTGTTAACGGTCTTTCCTCTCAGAAACAATGATTGATTGATTGATTGATTGATTGATTGGTTGATTGATTGATTGATTGATTGATTGATTGATTGATTGATTGATTAATTGAAAGTTTGCATGACACTCTCTCTATGCGAGGCATCGGACTAAACGTCCATATTCTGACCGAACGTGACTGCGTACTTGTACATGCCGGACTCCCAAACGGACGGCCTGGATTTCCTAATGAATAAAAATCCTTACATCTTCCTATTCTAAATTTTCTCTATTTTCTACGGGAACTTGGACTTCATGTTTTTTTTATTTGTTGTGTGTGCATTTTGTTTGAACTTGTAGGAAAACACTGAGTAACATTTTGTCTTAGAAGTTTCGCTTTCTATATTTTGATATGGAATGTTACATTCTAATTTTAGGTCCGCGCGCGCGCGATGGTGTTGCGAAGTCACGTGACGCTCAAATATATATGTCTCTTCATGGGAGACCGTTGAACAAAGCACATGTGTATTGATCGGAAAAACACGATAGCTATTGGTTTTTTTTTTACAGGTCATTGATATCGGATCATGCATGGATTTAACGTACACATGTTTACGGGAGCACAGATTTGTATTTTTATGCATGTTTAGAAATTTGAATATAGGATTTCAGTAATATTTACGAACTTGGGAGCGATTTCTACGTCATTGATTTTAATTTCTCCATCAAGCGGATCGCACGGGTCTAACGGGAATATATCTTCTTGATTCATTTTACAGGTAAACTATTGTCTAATCGCTGATCACGAGTCTTCATTCATTGCATGTACACAAAAATAATGCTGTTTTAATAGTATTTTAACAAAACATTTATCGATTAATTTCAGAAAATACATGAATTGGAGCAGATTTTTGCAGGGATGGATTTCTATTTTAGAAAAGAGTTTGTACATAAGAAGGATTAACGTTTTACAGTAAAATGAACGAGACTAAAAGCGATTTTTTTCTCTCATAGAAATGGGATAATTAAAAAAAATCAGTTGAAAAAAGAGGGGGTGGGGGTGAGTGTAGTGGTAGACTGTGGTTGACAACTGAGATAAAAAAAACATTTACAATATGATAGCTACAAAGTTTGAAGTTTCGATAAGTAATTTGTTGATTTGACCATAACATGGCATAGACCCTTCAATAAAATGACACGTACCACTTTGACAAAAAATTTCAAGTAAGGACATGTCGCGACAAACATTTTGGTTTAATGTTTTTGTCGATATCTATAACTCTTTCTATGAAGAAGGGATATGAACTGAATGTTTAAAATCACAACATGACCTTTGACCTTTGACCTTGACCTAATTTTCTTCATATTGGACCAAGGACCTCAAATCAACAGACCCTAGGTCTCTATCACTTATGGTTTACCAGTTGCAAATGCATATCACTTATATCAAATGCATAACTCTCATATGAAGTCTCTGGATGGCTTCGGTCAAAATTATTCTTCAGATCCTGAGGATAGAATGAGCAAATTGGTGAAATAATTTTGTCGTAATCTTTTACGGTTGCGAAGGAGATGCGCACACATGAAAAACTGTTTGGGGAGATAACTCTTACAATAAAAAGTGTTCGGTTAAACAGGCCTAGGGTCAGTTTCAAAAGTGCAATAACTGTTCGATATCATATGCAAAAAATTTAAGTGACATCTTGCAAAACCACCAAACACCGTAAGAAAAAAAATGGGGCGGAAGAAGAAAAAAATAATAATAATCAGAACAAATACAATAGGTCTTTCCACAGAAAAGTGGAAAGACCTAATAAGATATGATAATTCGTACATGATATAAATAAAAATGATATAGAAACCAAAGTACTCTTATGTATTATAAATGATCACACTAAAGAAACCTTTTAGAACTAGAAAGCAAATGAGATAGCTGATTTTCTATATTTTACCAGAGGTTAAAATCTTCGTTTTCGACATTTACTCCAGATTTTGTAACCCTCTGACCTTTTCCTAGGCCCTGCTTTTAAATTGTATACCTAGTAAATCCATGTTTATAATTTTTTATATCTCAAATATATAAAAAATAAAAATTTAGTCAAATATTTTTGCAAGTTAAATTATAATCCTTGTGTCTTTGGTGAGTTTACATTCTTTGTTCCCTTATATGATTTTTGTTTTTGTTTACTATTCGAGACTTCTCGTACATTTCAGTCTCATTTTTCTAGTGAAAAATAAAGAGATTGCAGGAATATTCAAAGACTCGTGCATCCATGTTTAGTTCCTGTTGTGTTATTCATTATAGATGTAGAAGACGCGATGAAAATTTTGTCCAACTTCGTTGCCGTATAAAAAAACGAAACACAGTTTGAATGACAAAAATAATAATTGTTTATATAATCGAGATACGGACGTATATTTTAAAAAACATCAACTTGGTTTTAAATAATGATTTATTCTCGATAAATTTTGCTCGAATATCATTATGTAAATTATCTCTGTTAAAATTCAAAATATATCAAAAATATCATTGAACACTTGATTTTGATTTACATGTAATTTAAACGAGAATATTTAGGTGGGAACAGGGCGTGTTAGGATTTTCCATACTAAATGTGTAAAGATGAATGAATTGTTAAGTATACAAAAAGTAAAGTACAAGAAAATGAAAAGGTTTCGGCAGAAATGTTTTTAATATCACTTAGCTTATAAGAGTAACACGACGGGTGTTACATGTGGAGCAGGATCTGATAACACTTTCGGAGCACATGAGATCACCCCGATTTTTTTGAGAGGTTCATAATGCTCGTTCTTTAGTTTTCTATGTTATTTTTGTATACTGTTGTTTTTCGTTTGGTCGTTTTTCGTTTTTTTGCCATGGTGTTGTCACGGTTGGTTTTCAACTTGTGAGTTTTAATGTCCCTTTCGCCTCTCTTTCAGATATTTTTTTGATATGAATAGGTCACTAGACTTAATGTTCTAATACGTACATTGCCTACGAAAAATTCCGATAGGAATTTATTGAAAATGCGAACGGACATCCATTTAAGTTTCGAATTTATGTAGCGTCCTTTCAATAAGAATAGTTCAATTGAGCAATGAAAAATATCCATGAAGTTTTAAAAAGTTTTAATTCCCTGATAACAAATTAAAACTCCAATTACAATGAAATGCACTGATGAACCAAGTGACAGTAACTCTTTACAACCATGACACACTGTCTTATAATGAAATCTATTACATTTTTAATTCATGTGTGAAATTGGACAAGGATACACATCCTTAGATTGAAAAATCAATATAAATAAAATTTTGTTTTCGTTTCGTGGATTAACTCTCTATAATTATGCAAGATTAATTATTATTTTCAGATACATTTCTGTAAAATATTCATCTATCGTACATTTAAAAACTTATCTGTGTAGAAGATGGTCAACCTTGGACAGTTTCCAGTTTTGTTTTTAAGTAGGTTGCATCTATCTACTATGGAACATTTAAAACCCTATTTGTACATTAATAGTTTTACAAAACGGAAAATCTTGCTACATCGTCAGTGCGAGAAAGACTAAAGTTAAAACGTATATGAATTCACTATGTTCTAATGTAATGTCCACACATAAAAAACGTATTGCATCGTATTTTATATGAGTAACACGACGGGTGTCACATGTCGAGTAGGATCTGAATACCCTTCTTGACTACCATAGATCACCCACGGATATTCGTGTTGCTCAGTCTTTAGTTTTTTCTTAATTTTTTGTCCTTTTGTCGTTTTTCGTCCTTTGTCATAATTTGTTGGTTTCTCTCCCCTCGACTTATGCGTTTTGATTCTCCTTTTAGGAAGTACACTACTAATGCATGGCCCATTGCTTTCTATGTTAAATTCCTCAATTTCAAGCAGGCACAGCTCTTTTGTCTTAAGTTCAAATAAAGTGACAATTATTGCATGTCAAAGTAACACCTTATGCAAAAATCAACATACCTTTGATTGCATATAAGAGAGAACTGGTTCCCGGAACATCGGATGTACCTAGACAGGTACTTCAGAACTGACAAACAGGCAAAATGTACCCTCATTTTAAAATTCCATGCAGTTTTTTTTTTATTCAAAATTATAAGTCAAAACAGTGTTCTACAATGATCACCAGTCATTCAGCTTTCATTTTCTTTACCAAAATTACCAAAATATTCTACATATTTTGTAAGTAACACCCATGCGTAGGAACTATCTTGTGTTAAATATGTACTAATTTTTGGAATGTGCTTTCTAAACCGGGCCCGAATTAGTGGTGTTACACCTTTAGAATCTCTTGCCTATTATTTTCCCATAAAAACAATATTATTGTCATTCAAGATTGCTTTTATAAGGTATAATAGTGCAATTAAGTCGCTGAAGTTATCGTGAAAACTACAAGAAGTGAACGATTAAGGAACACATCTTGGAAGCCGTGCATGTATTTAACTGTTTTCTGATTTATTTCCAATTAATGAAAAATAATTCATCCATATGTTGCAAAAATAAAGTTTTCCGTGTTTCAGAGCACACCTTATACTGTATCAATTCGGGGAAGGAGGATTGCATTTTGCGTTACAATATACGAGTCCATTGTGAGACCGTAATTAAATGATTTATTCAACCACAAATCATTTAGCTGTAATACACTTAGGTTTTTTAGTTGCCTTTTTGTTTTTTGTTATATTTTTGATAATGATTTTTATTTTATTTTTTTATTTATTTTATTTTTTTTGGGGGGGTTGTAATTTTGGTATTTTTGAGTGTCATTTGAAACTCAGAAAAACCTGCGATTTGAAACACGGTCTTCTTTAATAAGAGAACTTTAGGAAATCTTGCAACATTACAATCAATGCACGACATGATGTTGATAATCTTAGACCTTCTCACAATGAAGCGGTAATAGGAGTGTCTGATTTGATTTGATACTAATAAAGATTGTATGTTGGCAAATTCCGGTCGATTAAAATTGAGATATGTTTAGGGAAGGTTGCATATCAACTCTGTTGCAAAACCAGGAAAACATTTGAAAAATTTTAACGGGTTTAAGATAAATTTTCAACAGAATGTTATATTACATAATGACTTATGTCAGGATTTCTATACCTCCCAATGTTTAATAGCATTAACGTCTAAACTTGGTCTATGATAGGAAGAACATCACTAATAATGTATTGCTACTAATCCTTATCACCTTTCGGAATATTCAATATTCTGTCGTCAAATGGTGAAGTCGGAAGACTAGAATCGTCCTCTTCCTTTTCGAAAGTAACCATTTGTTCACGTAAGGTCTGAAGTTGTTCGTGAATTTCTTGCATTTGTTTCCGAGCATCACCAAATGCTTCGTCGGACGATTCTAATGATTCTTCCGGGTGATATCCACTTGATGCTACCGGAATATTGTCCTGAAATACATCATCATCTTCCGGTTCCGGTTCCCACACGACCGGACTTTCTGGCATTGTTTTAACCATATTATAGCTAAACAAGGCATCCACCTTGTCGTCATGTTCTATGTACGGTTTACTAAAAATAATTTGACCAAATTCATCGTCATCGTCCTCATCATCTGCTAGCATACTATCATTACTAGCATCATCATCATCATCTTCCCATTTTTCTGACGCATCGAGGTCTGATTCAGTGAAGGCAACTGATCGCCTACTGCCCTCAGAAGATTTATGAAAAGGGGAGTCATAACCTTCCGCTTGTGATTGTTCATATACCTCAGCGGTCGGCGTGAGATCAAAATTTTCTAATTGCTTATCTGGTCTTTGCGGTGCAGAAATTGAAATCTGTTTTGATTTTTCCTGGAACAATTTCTGAATAGATTGGTCAAGTTTTGAAGGCGTTCGTTTTACTGTTATTTGCCTCTCAGTTCGTGGCTCTTCGGAGTATAAAATTTCTTCTTCTGATATCTCATCAGAATAGTCTGAATAATCCTCATCTTTATAAGATCTAATAACTTCACTAAGGATATCTGTTTCTCTTTTTGGTCTAAAATCAGAACAATCGCTATCGCTCTGACTTTGACTCCTATTCAGAATATTTTTAAAATCTATTTCCTCGTCCGATGATGGGGTGTCACTGAATTCCCGATCTTGACCTTCCAGTTTCCGTTTGTGTTTTTGAAAATTGTGTTCGTCCATTTCGAATTCTCTTTCATGCTTTTCAAATTCATAATCATCTATTTCGAATTCTCGATTCTGTCTCACATATTCTTCATTTTGTTTCTCAAACACTCCTTTATTATATTTTGAATTCTGATTATGTCTTTGGTAATCATCTAAGTTATAATAGACTGGTTCAGATAGACTCTCCAAACTTTCAGACGAACCAGACAACTCAGGTTCTTCCTTTGAATTGTAATCTTCGGTAATTACAGGACATTTTACGTTAAGACCTGTTTCTACCAGCATTGATTCTGGTTTATATTTCAGTTCACTTCCAGTAGCAATCCAATCATTACCGTCCATAGTTTTAATGACATCACGTGTTAAAAGGTCCTTCTCTTCGTCCATTAATTCTACAAGAATTCCACGTTTTACGCCGTAAGTTTTTTTTGTGACCAATATATAATTATCCGGATCATTTGCATGTTTATTGTTAACAGCAAATAACGTAGAATTTCTTTTATTTGGTTCATTTTGAGTTGGAAGTATGTTTTGCAATACTTGTATATGTTGCTGAATCAATTTTTCATTTAACTCGTTTTCGTGTTTCATTTGCTCTTCAATTTCTAGCTCACTTTTGCGCTTCAATACGTTTTGACATACATCTAGTTGTGCAACTTCAGTACAATCCTTGACTTGCGAATTTATGTCATCATCTGTTGATTTCATTCTAAAATTATTATTCATAACATCTAAAACTGAAGCATTGTCTTTTCCTTGAGGAGTTTTAACAGTGGCATCAACTTTTGGTACCGTTAATATTTCGTAATTTTCTTTGCAAATGAGTTTTAAATTTTTTTCTTCCTGTTTTAGATTACTTTTTAATTCTGTCTCTTCAATTGACTTGTAAGCGTCATCGAAATCCGTAGACTTGAGGCATGATTGCTCCAAATATCTAAACACGTCTTCGAAACGTTCATCGGGATCTATGTGCTGTACTTCCGGTATATCTGGAGAGGATGACGGCGAATCGGTGAACTCGTGAAATTCAGACCGATTTAACTTTGTATTGTCTTGTTCAGATTCCAAAAGCAATGATAATCTTTTACAAATTGAATCTCCGAAAATTTCATCGTCCCTACTTAGATGTATTTCGGAACACGTTTCACTTTCAATTATTGCACATTCATCTACCTCTAAAAGTGTAACACCTGAGGCAGGTGAGGGAGGTGGAACAAATTCGGCACAACTTTCAACTTTTAAGTGTACATTATCGTTTTCCTCTTTTAATATCCCGTTCTTTAGAACACAATAAGTATCGCGTTTAGTCTGTTTATCCCTCTCGGGCCTCTCAATATAATCTATGAAGTTACTATGTACACCTTGATGAAGATGATCATTATCAAATTTCACGAAAGGTAATATTATTTTGGTGGTTTTGTCTACCTCACTCTGTTGGGTTTGTTTGCACTTTCTCCTCTCGGCAGGTGACAAGTTACCGCCATCGTAGCGTATTAATTTAGCTTTTTCACCAGTTCTGACAAGATTTTCTGTTGTACTGTCACTCATTTCTAAGCTATTATTAGAAAACCTGCTGTCACATGTATTTTTGTTCTGCTGTAGTTGCCTTGATTTAACGATTAGAGATCCATTTGTTATACAACGGTTGTCTTTGTCGCGTTCTTTGCATATTTTTGAAGATTTATCGTCACTTCCACCTTCTACACATATTTGTGACGTTTTATTTTCTGATTGTGATGTTAATATTCTAGAATCTATAGAGCTTCCGCTACTGTGTCGAGAAAATTTTCTGTTTTCAAATGCCATATTTTTAGGAGGTTCGGGGGTTGTAAGGAAAAATCTAGCTCTTGGTGATAGATTACCCAATGATTCCTTTGGGGTTTCTAGAATTTTCTCTGGACTTTCTAGAATTTTTTCACGTTGTAAAAGTCGCCGGACCACACGCGGACTATCTCGTGCTATGACAGGAGAAAATTTCGCATGTATGCCCTTTCGTGGCGAAGGGGGCGTGAATGTATCTGACGCGGTGACGTAACCAATACTTCCATTGGACTGGTCATCTACATTTGTCCCACATAATCTGGATGTATTTTGTTCAACCTTTTCATTTTGCTGTGTGATTGTACCTGCAGACGCAATGGTACTGTCTGATAGTTTTCTGCTACTTAGTGTAGAATATGAATAACTGTCACATTGTGACGCGTCCTCTTCGATTCTGTCAGGAGAATCTCCTTTTCCTTTCTTTTTCCGTTTTTTCTTTTTCTTTTTCTTACTTTTTGGTGACTTTTGTTGACCATCATTTAGTTTTAGCCACACGTCATCGGCAATGTCCTCTTCTTTTTGTTTCTTTTTTGTTCCTAAGTTTCCCATTTCGACATACAGTTATATCTATTCTAATTATATAAAAATGAGAATTCACGTGAAGTACTGAAGTATTGCTTCATTGTTAACGGTTGTAGTATTCCCAGTCCATCTTTAATGTGTGTCTTTATTTACTTTTTTATTCTATAATGAAAAAGAAAAAAATAATTAACTGTATGAATATCTGTCTTATTATAGTTTCATTGCTAGCAAAATGAGTTGTAGGTCTTTGCTTTTATAGTGTTATATAGATATTAGAAGATGTGGTATGAGTGCCAATGAGACAACTCTCCATCCAAGTCAAAATATATAAAAGTAAACCATTATAGGTCACAGTACGGTCTTCAACACGGAGCCTTGGCTCACACCGAACAGTAAGCTATAAAGGGCCCCAACACATTACTAGTGTAAAACCATTAAAACGGGAAAACCAACGGTCTAATCTATATAAAAAACGAGAAACGAGAAACACTTATGGACCTCATCAACAAACGACAACTACTGAACATCAGATTCCTGACTTAGGACAGGTGCAAACAAATGCAGCGGGTTTAAACGTTTTAATGGTACCAAACCTTCACCCTTTTTCTGAAACAATAGTGTAACATCACAACATAGAAAGACACACTATAAAATATCAACTGAAATAGCTTAACTCAATCAAAAGACATATTAACACCATTGAACATACACTGAACAAATAAATTTGACCTATGACACAATGTAAATACAAAATAAATAAACTAAGGGAAGAATAATAAAAGTAACATGTTATATCGGTAAGAAATGTTAAACAATTAAAGAAAAACAATATGCTCGAACAAAAATACCATCCATTTGCAATAACTTTAAACACAGGTAAATGAAAATAATTTTGTTGTTGTATATTGAAATGGTGTTTTCATACCATATCTATACTGATCAAATGATGGACTGTATTCTTTTGATTACGATGCAAATTGAAAGGCATGATTTTTTTTTACAACTTGAAGAAACCATCCTTTCTATTGTCAATGGTTCTTCCTGCACTATTCAATAAATTATTACTGATAGTTCCGGGTGTCTCCAGTGCGATACGGGGTTAACAATCCACAATACATGTATATTGAATGCAATATTTTTTATTTTATTGGTATATTTCTTCATTTAAATGCAATATTTTTTTTTATTTAAATGGTATATTTTTTCATTTAAATGCAATATTTTTATTCGAATGGTATAATTTGTCATTCAAATGCAATAATTTTTATTCAATTGGTATAACTTGTCACTTTAATGCAATATTTTTTATTCGATTGGTATATTTGTCGTTTTAACTTTAATTTGCAATGTTTAGTAGTTTTTTTTTATTTATATGCAATAATTGCATTATGGGAAATTGTTTGGCGTCACCAGGTCAAATTTGCAACAACGTTTGTGATTGGTCGATTCTGGATTTTATATGTTGTCTTGATAAGTAACTCTTGTGCGTTTTTTTTTAAAGTTCATCGTATTACTAAAACATATAAAATTCATGACTCAATATTTGGAGAATGAAAATACAAAGTTTGTTATTCTAATCAAAACAAACTTATAATAGAAGAAAAAAATATACAAAAAAAGACAGACAAAAAATGACATGGCAAACAAAAGAGACGAAAAGAAAAACAACGGACCACAAAAAACATCACAGACCACTACATAACTGAGCAACACGAACCTAAACTAAAACTGGCGAAACATGTGCTCTGGAAGGATAAGCAGTTCAAAACGGACGTTGTACGTACGGTTTTGGGATTTTCCTCAAGTCAATTAGTGACACTAGTGGTGTAACCGTTGTAGAGTCATAACCCGTTATAATGAAGCATAAACTTGTAGATTGGTAAATCTTCCTCGCTATATCTATACACAAGACATAACCAAAATAAAACATCGGAACATGTCAAGTCTCAGGGGTTGTTTTTTTTTTTCCTTCTTATGATTTTTTATTGTCTCGTTTGTATTTGCAGTTCTTTAGAAATTTGCAAATAAAAGCATGAACATGAAAATTTGTATTAAAGCATAAAAGAATCCGAATTTTTGTTTAGGATTCATTTAAAAAGTTTTAGGATGGCACTAGGTCAATATAAAAATCATTAGTTGCTTTACAAAAAAGAGAAAAAAAAATGGGAAGGGGACTTAATTCTGAATTTAAATTTGGACATATGAATCACTATGTTTATATTCCTTTTCTTTAAGTAAACAAGCATTCTGAGGGTATTGCATGGCAATACATAGTCCCCTACCGGGTAAAAATTCATTATACTGGAACAAAAAGTTAACTTGTTCTATACTTGTCATGGTGTAAACAAAAAGAAGATATCAAGTCAATATCTTCAAGCATGACTAAAAACAGTGTGGAAAACTGATTAAATGAGTGAATTTTTCAAGTCCAAGGACCTTAACTCTACACAAAATTATCAGACCGAAACAAAATTTCGAACTTGATCTGTATAACTTGTCATGATAAAACTATATACCAATTATCAATCAATATCTTCAAGCATGATGAAAAAAAGGTGTGGAAAACACTTTAACATTAGATATGATTTAATTCTGTAAGCATACCGGGAAAATTTGCCAAAGGGAACTGATCACCTTAAAGAAATCTAATATAAACAGCAATAAAAAGTAAAAACAACACTTTATAAATTTCATGAGTCTCCGAATAGTTCTTTTTTAAGATTTGACTATTGTAGTATCTCACGGGAAACACAAAATTGATTACACAAGATACGATTTTCGTTCCGTATCGTTAATGTCCCCTTTTAGACGGGGATGTTCCGTGATCCCTTTATACGGTATATTCCCAACTCGTTTGATATGCCCATGTCTGTAGTGACATTTTGAATAGAAATAAACGAGACAATCAAAAATCTTAAGATGGGGAAAAAAACCAAGACACTACCATAACAAAACAAAACGATGGAAAGACAGGCAACAGTCTAATAAACACTACACAGAAAACTAAAGACTGAGTAACACGAATGTCCAAATATACCACTATATAAAACGACAAATATACCAAATGAATAAAAAATGTTGCATTAAAATGACAAGTTATACCAATTGAATAAAAAAATATTGCATTTAAATGAAAAAATATTGCATTTAAATGAAGAAATATACCAATTAGATACAAAATATTGCATTTAAATGAAAAATATCAAATATTTTTATATCTCTATTGAGATATAGGCCTATGAGGCAGGAATGTTTAGCTCCTATCCGTTCCCCCACTCTTTGACCCCAAAAAATGAAAATGAAAAAGGGCCCTGACTTAATTCTAGACTATAAGACTATAGACAAGATTCTATTTTTTTTCTTGTAACTGTGGAAAGTATGTCCTTCTCAATATGCAGTCTACTCCTATGCCACATTATTTTTGTCGTTTATCATGTATATTTTATTGATATACTTATATTCCTATTTGGGATTATTTTGCAGTTAAAGAGAGTTGTACAATATTTTAGCTTTATATATAAAATTAATCCCCAGTACTTACTTCCTATTTGAAAAGACAGGACAGTTGCCTAGTACATTAGCAATACGTTCAATAATCATTCATTAATCGATCTTAAATTCAAACTACCCACTATCGATAATTGTTCATGAAATCCATCGAGTATTAATCACATATGGTCGATTACCGTTTTTGATAAACAGTATGATCGATAATTTGTGGGTTGTATACACAATTATTAGGCGTAAAAGAAATTAATACACTCTACAAATTGTCTGGTCTTAGGGCGTAAAAGAGCTTGGCATACAGCTACGGTATTTGTACATCATTGATAACAATGTTACGACTTTTAGAAATGTTTTTGTTAAACCTGTGTTGTTGGTTTTCTGTCTTATTGACGATAACCTAAGATTTTTCTTCATGTAGAGTGATTTAAAAATGAAATGAAGTTTATTATATATACTATATGCATACTGCTTAACTATCATAAAGATTTTACGTATTTGATATGTAATACAACTTCATTGAAAAGGGGCAAAACAATTCGGATAAATAACTAAATAAGTTTCATAATATCAACATACATGTGAAATCAATTTACAACTGTCAAATTTTAATAAGCTATTGATAAAAAAATATAAACCTTGCTTGATCGGCAACACAGCGTATTTATCTGAAGTGTAATAGATTGGAGAGTTGCAACAGAAAATATAATTAAACAAGACAATTCAAATTTTGTATGATTTCCTGTTTTTTTTACATAGGTATAAACAAAAACATTTGTAAGTAAATAGATCGGCTGCCAAGTATAATAAAACTGACGCGCGCCAATTTCCAAAAACCACACAAATCCGGTTAAAACCCGATTAACAAATGTCAGGTAAAGAAGCATACATGTTCCTTTGATTATCATTCAATGTTAAAATATCATTTCTATTAGTTTTTCTCATATAACTGTGTAAATGATTGTGAAGTTGCTCGTGTTATACGCATATGTAACAGATGGTACTGTTTTTCTAAAAGAATCTTTGCCTCAGAAATATATGCATATTTTCACATTTCCATATGATAATAAGAGATTTGGTGTGATTGCGCCACTTGCAATTTGTATCAACTGTCCACCAGTGACCAAAGGACGAGAATGTAAATAATTATAGGGCACTCTGTGGCCTTCAACAATGAGCAAAATCCGTTATACCGTGTAGTAAGCTATAAAGGGGCCTGGCAAGACAAATTGTGAAACAATTCAAAATAGTAAACAAACGTCCTGGTTTATGCAAAAAACAACAAGAAAAAAAACACAGGGAAAACAGCAACCAACTTTAACCACTGAAATACAGGTTCCTAACTTGGAACAGAGGCATAAAGAATGTGACGGAGTAAAATATGTTTATGAGCGCCCTACCTTAACTTAATATGGGGACAGTGGAGTAGCAGCATGTATCCTATATATTAAGAATAAACAATGAAAATTAAATGGAAAAAACTTGAATCATCAAATCGGCACTATAGCACGCAACAACCCCTAACCTGATAAAGACAAAAACACAAGGTACCGATCTAACCGTACTCGAAGTTATACTGTAAGCTAATTGAAAGCCAATTCCAACTCATGAATATACAATGTTCCCAAACTAGAATTTCAATCAAGTACACATGCAAT